CAACTTCAACCTTTTCTCCATTTAACATAATGTCACCTATTGTCGAATGGCGAGAATTTTGATCTTCTTTACATTGAGTTGTAACCCATACTGAAGGCTGCCATCCTTGAACTTCATCAGCAAGTGCTTCAAGTCCTCCTCACGTTCAGGAAACAAGGTTGTGTTATCTGCACATCCAAGGTTGTTAGTAAGCCTCCCTCCAATTTTGAACTTGCATGGTTCTCCATATAATCCAGTTTCTCTGATTGTTTTCTCAGCAGTTAAGTATGGTGAGAGGATAAAGCCCTGACACACACCTTTCCTGATGTTAAAGCATGTAGTATTCCCTTGTTCGGTTCACACAACTGCCTCCTGATCCATGGGCAAGTTCCTCATGTGCATAATGAAGCATTCTGGAATTCCCATTCTTCTCAAAGCTTTTCCACAATGTGTTATAAGCCACACCATTGAATGCATTGGCATAGTCAATAATACATACGTGAACATCTTTCTGGTGTTCTTTGCTTTCAGCCAAGGTTGTACAGGTTTACGAGGCTTTGTGGCAAGCCTTTGGAATGTAACCTTTGCTAGCTGTTGCCACACAGGCTACCAGTATGAAGAGACTGAGGCATCTGTCATGAGTGATTCAAAAGCTGGTTCTCCTGGAAGAGTCATTTCTAATATCAGAAGTGCATGTGAACTTACATGGGGGCAACAGTTTGCAGAGTAAACTCAAATTTTATTTTTGCTTCTAGATTCCTGTGTGTCACCATGCTCCTGTGAGGCAGTGGCATTAGGGCAGGGAAACAATTCCATCTCCTTTCCACTCACTCCGGCTCACTCCTGCCACGCTCACCATTCAAGGTGCAATCGTGTTTTGACTCAGACAATACTGCCACCTCTTAATGGATCATCTCACTTTCACTCTAAGTCCCTTTCCATCAATTCTACACCCCAAAGCAGCTTGGAGGATATAGCATCTGGGGTCTTAAAGGCTTGAAGGTAAACAAGTGGCCATCTAGCTCAGAAGCAACAAAGCCCACATGGGAGAAGCACACCAGCCTGTGCGATCATGAGGTGTTGAAGGGATCAGGTATAAGACATCACCAGAACAAAAAATCTTACCATAGTGAATGATGGGGGGGAGTGTGGAGTGGAGACCCAAAGCCCATTTGTAGGCCACTAGAGATCCCCTTGCAGAGGGGTCTCAGGGAGGAGACGAGCCAGTCAGGGTGCGATGTAGCAATGATGAAACATACAACTTTCCTGTAGTTCCTAAATGCTTCCTCCGCCCCCCACTATCATGATCCCAATTCTACCTTGCAAGTCTGGCTAGACCAGAGGATGTACACTGGGACAGATAGGAACTGGAAACATAGGGAATCCAGGGCGGATGATCGCTTCAGGACCAGTGGTGTGAGTGCCGATACTGGGAGGGTAGAGGGAGAGTGGGTTTGAAAGACGGAACTGATGACAAGGATCTACATGTGAACTCCTCCCTGGGGGACAGACAACAGAAAAATGGGTGAAGGGAGACCTCGGACAGGTCAAGATATGACAAAATAATAATTTATAAATTATCACGGGCTCATGAGGGGAGGGGAGAGGGAGGGGGAAAATGAGGAGCTGATGCCAGGGGCTTAAGTGGAGGGCAAATGTTTTGAGAATGATGATGGCAACAAATGTACAAATATGCTTGACACAATGGATGTATGTATGGATTGTGATAAGAATTGTACGAGACCCCAATAAAATGATTTTAAAAAAAAAGAAAAGAAAATGCACATCTGAGGATGCCACTTTTCTGCTTACAATTCCCGTCGGGCTTCCTGGGGTCTTGTGACAGAATCCATAACAAGCTCTCTCATCATGGACCTGTTGTCTAGATCATCAAATCTCCCTTCCCCGCTCCTTCCCGACGCCGTCCTGCAGCTAACAAGGGAAGCAAGACAACTGTTTTTGGAAACGAAAATGCCACTCGTGGCTCTTCTGCTCTTTAAATCATCCCCCAAAGTGGCCGATGACAAGACTTCGCCTCTTGGCATTCGCTGATAGGCAGAACTGTCTTCGCTCAGCTTTTGCACGTGTAAAGCTCTTCCTGCCCCTGAGCTGGTGCTCTACCTCTCTAGCCACCTTCTCCTGGTTCTAATCCGCCCACTAGTGGTGCCAGTTTACAGAGCAGCCTACCTGGCTCCATCCAAATGAGACCTTCCTTCAGAGCGCTAGTTATACATTCCTCTCCTCAGGCTTTTCTTTTCTCCTACTTGACTTCAAGTTCCATGCAGATCAGGAGCAGGTCCGTTGCACATCCCTAATTCCGGATACACAATAGGGGCTCACTGAATACTTGCTGAATGCAGTGATGTGATCAGTCGATGCCAGTTCGTTCTGGGTCAAACCCTAAGCCTGTTTGATGCTCATTCTGAAATCTCCCTACTAGCACAGGAGGTGATGGTAAAGCTCACGTGTGCCAGCACACACTGAGGCCTGCATGGAGGGGCTTCATGACGTCATGTAATCTGCTCCTGGCTGTAAACTAAGGCAAATTGGTATTTGGTGCGACTGTCTTTAAAGATACCCAATATCCTTGAGAAGTTCTGGTACCATGTTTCCCCGGAAAAAAAAAGACATACCCATAAAATAAGTCGCAGCAGGATTTCTAAGCATTTGCTCAATATAAGCATCCCCCAAAGTAAGACAGAGTGATTGGCGTGGCTCTGCAGCGGTAATGAAGACAGGCAGCCACTGCCCCATTGTGACAGCTGCTATCTCGGAGGTGACAGGAGAGGTGCAGGCAGCCCATCAACAAGGTCAGCTCTCGCTGTCACGTCCCGGTCATTCCATGCATGCTGAGGCAGAGAGGGAGACACGGACAGTGAGATTCAAAGTCTCCTCCGGGAAGTGAGGGGCGGGCCGCTCTGCTTTAAGGATTGTGTGTCCTCCAGGGGAAGAAGGGCAGCGGTGGCTGCCGTGTGACTCAGCACTGTGGGTCGATGTTCCAGAAGAAGATGACTTAACTATATTTAAATAAATGTAGATTGTTGTATCATACTTAATAAACATAAGACATCCCTGAAAATAACCCACAGTGTGTCTTCTTGAGGAAAAATACATAAGACAGTGTCTTATTTTTGGGAAACATGGTACATGTTCCATATACCTTAGGACAGGAGCCTGTGGTACAGGGTTCAGTCATGTACCCCCACCTCCCTGACCCTGAGACTGGCAGACTGGAGTCTGGCCATAGCTCTTAGAACACAACAGTTAAGCACTTCCATAATCGAAACCCAAACTATATGACTCAGTCACCTTACATTCGTAGGAATATCATTTGGTGACTGAAATTCTTATGATAAGTGGGCAAAATACGCAAATTCGATTTAGGGTGCCAGTATTTTCCAGAATGTTTTGTGAACAAAGAAATAAAATAGAGGTGTAGTTTTCTGTTTGTTGGTAACATTCTAATATGTTCAGAGAGAAAAATGCGACATTCTGAAGTGGAATGACAGTGCACTGAGAAGCTTGTAGAGGAATGGCGAGCTCAGAGTCTGTGCCTGATTTCTTCTCATTACAAGAATGTATCCCTGTGATGTCTTTGTTTTATTGTACCACCACCAGAACCATCTTCGTAGGAAAACCCCACTGAAAAACCTTGGGAAAGATGTGAATTTGGCTCAAAGCCTTCTGGGTATAGTAGATGGTGAGGTTCCAGGCCTGTCTGGATTCTAATGCTGGCGCAGATATGTGGAGTGTGGCCCCAGGCTCCTCTCAGCTTTGCTGGGCTCCCTGCTGTGAGATTGGCTAGATTATGTGTGTGAACGCACTTGGCAGAGCACCTGGCCCGAGGAGCACATCCTCTCCACCTTTGGTCAGGCATCACTCAGCAAACACGCCCACGCATTTATGTGTGTATAGAACCATGAGGCAGTATGAGACAGGGTATTAGAGAAGGTAACTTTCAACCCCCCAAATTACTGTCTACCTTTTTAATGACAACTCAAAAGTGTCATGGGTACGGGGATGATGACACTAGACATCCAGAATGTCTCCCGACTACATTAATCATTTCTTTCCTCATTCCTTCTCTTCTCCTCTCCACTACCTCCTCCCCTCATTTAAAGAAATGGCCTCTCAGTCCTGCTCCTATCACATTCACACCTCACAGAGAATGAGTATGTGTCAAGGTCATTTCATTATGATGCCTCCAATACCCTTGCCCAGCGGCTGAGACTTAAAACAAAGGACATGAGCCAGAATGCATTTGTGATAACAATTTTTTTTCCTTCTCTTTAGAAAAAAAATGTACAAAAATGCTAAGAAGAGCGAACATGAAAGTGTCAAGAGAACATTCTGGTAATTACAGACAAGGGAGAACCTTCTCTCAAAGGAAGTATATATTAGTAATCACCATGCTGGAAAAACGAGATGCAGTTCAAATCTTAGAACAATGCAAAGCCACGACTGAAGCTGTTGCCCTGGGGCTCTGTGTGGTAGCTGCTCTGATACCCTTTGTGTAAAACCATACTGTGCAAATGGTAACATATTTTCATAGGAAGCCCATTCAACGTGATTTACAAAAGTCAACAGGGAGACGGGTGCTGGCAGCTCTTTTGTTTGTTTGTTTTCATGGAAGGCTGCCTGCCCAAGGAAATGGCCTTAGAAAGATCTTGAGATGTTTAGATGGGGGAGGCCATTATCTAAGAAAGAATCATCTAACCCCAAACCCATGGCCACTGTGCCAAATGCTGACCCATAGAACTGCCCCAGGCTTTTCACGGCTGTCCATCTTTCTGGAAGCAGATCACCACGTCTTTCCCTGGAAGAGCAGCTGGTGGGTCCAAACCAACGACCTTTCCTTCGGCAGCAACGCATGCAGCCAATTTGCCACCAGGGCTCCCTCTCCTCTGGTCCCAACACCCTCACATCCCAAATTCTCTGCCCATGAGGTGAATGAATAACTTCACCAATTGATAACAATTCACGTAGAATGCAAGAACATATTAAAAGATTGGCACACAGGGTTCTTTTTGAAAATACTGTTTCTTCTTTAACACAGTTGCTTTTGAGATTTACCTTTAAACAACATTGCCCTAAAAAAAAATTTCTGGGGGAGGCAGCAAGGGTGGTAACAAAAGGTAAAAGTGAATCGTTATATTAATTTTATTTGTGTTTATAAAACTGAGAAAAGGAGGCTTTGTGTACAAAGATCACAAAACAACATCCATTGAATTAATGTGGTTCTTCGATGCACACGTGAACAAGAAGAGAAATTTGTTGATTTTAAAATTCTGTCATAAATATATTAAAGTTGACCAAAATTAAAAAAAAGGCAAGCTACATCACTTCCTCATACAAAAAATGTACAAAACATTAGCCTCTAACTAGATAAACATAATACTTGTCTTCACAGTTAGCCATTGCGTAACTGTGTGTCTTGAAGTCTCGAATCAGAAGGTGATTTAAAAACAGCGTGTGACGCGCCAGTCTCCTCAGGTAACTTCAGTCATGGAGGCGGAGTGATTCTGCAGAGTGAGCACAAAGAACAATCGTAAGAGTTGCACCAATGGGCTCGAGCGTGCTTTCTCCCCGGAATCAGCGTGTTGCTGTCTCGTTGACTCCAATCTGCAGTGACCGACCCCAGGCATCACACTTCAGAACTGGGTTTCATAGGATTTTCGGTGTTGCAATTTTTTGTAAGCAGATCGCTGGTGGATGGGTTAGAACCACCAAGCTTTTGGTTATTATACAAATGCAAACCACTGGCCCAGATCCCAAGGGGCCCTGAAAGAGCTACATCAGAGACCTGTCTCCTGAATTTGCAATAGCATCATGTGCATGTGAGAGTTAGACGTTGAATAAAGAAAACCGATGAAAAACTGATGGAATTTGCACCAAGGTGCTAGTAAAGGATATTGAAGGTCCCAAGGAGGGCCACAAGAGCAGATTTGTCCTGGAAGAAGTACAGCCAGAACTCTGTTTAGAGGCAAGGATGGTGAAAGTTTGTCTCACATACTTTGGACATGTTATTAGAAGAGACTAGTCCCTGGTAAAGAACATCATGTTTGGTAAAGTGGAGGAGTAGCTAAAAAAGAATTAAGAAATTTCTATAAAATAACAGATGAGTAAGAAGAGCCAAAAATGACCTGTTAACATGAAAAAAAATGCCACAGGAAACTAACAATGAATGAATAAACTTGCTAATGTTTTGGTTTAAGAACCAAGCAAAAATCCCTCTCAGCACATAGAGGTTTGCTAAGACACGAAGCTTGTTCGAGACACTTAAATAAAAAGCAGGGCCACACTATGATGTGTCCACACACGTCCTATTTCACAGAACATATCGTGAGCTTAAGTAATACAAACTTGTATATATAATCCTCCCCAAAGCATAAAACATAATAAAAACAGACGGTGTCAGACTGAATTGTCTAGAAAAAGAAATTTTTAATGAGAAATATAATGCTGTATTCTTTGAATATATTAAAATCACTTTTACATAATTCACAACTCAGTAAGACACAGGGGAAGGTTTAAATATGTACAACTGTCACATGTGAAAAACACTAGATACAAAATATATGTGGGTTAGCAGCTTTGAGATCCCTAAATGCTTGTATTAGGAAACAAACTCACTGCCATTGAGTTGAATCCAACTCTTAGCTACCCTATAAGACAGGGTAGAATCGCCCCCATGGGTTTCCAACACTGTCACTGGCCAAGGTTAGGAAACAAAACAATGGTGTTCAGGGAGCCTTGCTGTTGTTAGATGCCATTGTGTCAGCTCCAACCCTGCATATGACAGACAGGATGACACTCTAGCTGCCTAGTCTGGTGCCATCCGCACAATTGCTCCTGTGTTTGAGCCCCTGGTTTCTGTCACTCTGTCAATCCATCTCAAAAAGGGCAAGCTAAATCATTTCTGCATACCAAAGATGTACAGAACATTAGCCTCTAACTAGAGAAACATAATTTATTTGTCTTCAGTTATTCATGGACCATGAACATGAAGGAAGTGCCCTGGGAATCGTAAAGTGGATTTTAGCAACTGTGTTCAGGCTGGAATGTAATGTTTTATAATATGATCTCCCTATGGGCCCAATGTGAATTTACTCTAAACTTTTAATATTCTCTGCTTTCTATTAGATTGAGGTCTCTAACAGTTTTAAATGGCCATGGTTGATGGACCCTTGCTTGGTGTATGCACTAGTTTGCTATAGTTATCTGTATAGGGAATTAGGATCGATGAACATGCAGATAACAATGGGACTGATGATTTCTGGGGGGCATGGCAGGGGAGGGAGGGGAAGGAGGGATCGCATCAGTGTGTGAGAGAAGGGGAGGGAAAGCGGCACAGTGGATGCTGTCAGTGACTGCACAGCCCTTCTTGAGATGGACTGAGCCACTGCATTGTGGGATAGGTCAATTACAGAGCAATAAAAGGAGGAAATTAAAAAATAAGTGTATAAGCTATAGATAGATTCATTTTGGTCCTGGATGGATATCAACAATAAACAGTTGTGTTAGTGAACATGTCCATACCCTTTAAAGTGACATTTGTGTTAACTTGAAAAACAAAACAAACCCCCCTCCATTTGTACTTGTATATGAACAATAATGTTTTTTTTCTAAAACAAATGGAACGGAACATATCCACTGATGGGATATGCTACATCGCATCAATGAGGGAATACACCCATGCCATCTTGTCTGCTGTACCCATCTGGGAATTTAACTTGTGCATGCTGCAGAGAAAATCCACAGTAACAATCCAAGTCAAAATAAAGCTTCTCTGCGAAGTAGGGAAACAATTTCCTGTGCTTGTGAACTTATTTTTCTTTGTACATTCTGCCCTTTTTGTTTACTTAATCTGAGACCAAATAATTAGGGCAAAAATTTAGCATTGCTTTATCTCTTGGTGGATTTTATTTTTAAATATTCATTACATTGGGAATAACATTCAGATAAAAGATAGATCTTCTTATTGTATTCTCCATTTCATATTTTCTCCCTCTTTGCTGCTTTCTTGTACTTATTAATTTCATCAGTGTTGTTTTATAATTAATTATCTTTTAAGCTAGTTCTCATCATTTTATCCACTTTATTAGTTTCCAATGGTTTATATATTTTTCATTTTAAGTAGGCACCTTGGCTCTTCTTATGCATCTGTTATTTTATAGAAAGCCCCGGATTCTTTTAGTTTTACTTCCACTTGACTTTGCTTATTCTTTATATGCTGTATTTGATCATTGTAATCATTTATGCTATTTGCTTATTCTGATGACAAACCCTCATGTTGGCTTCTACTCTCATATGTTATCTACTTTTGTAATTTGACACAATGCTTGTATCGCACTGTGGGAATTCTGATAGTAATGAGTTGACAATGTATTCTTCCAGATAAAATTTTACATTTCAGTCCTAACAGGACTCGATAAATCGATGACTTAAAAAAATCATTTTATTGGGGGCTTGTACAACTCTTATCACAATCCATCCATCCATCCATCGTGTCAAGCACATTTGTACATTTGTTGCATCATCATTCTCAAAACATTTGCTTTATACTTGGGCCCTTGGTATCAGCTCCTCATTTTTCCCCTCCCTCCCTCACAAACCCTTGATAATTTATAAATTATTATTTTCCATGTCTTATGCTGACTGATGTCTCCCTTCACCCATTTTTCTGTTGTCTGTCCCCTCAGAGAGGGTTATATGTAGATCATTGTGATCGGTCCTCCCCTTTCCCCCCATCTTCTCCTTCCCCTCCTGGTATTCTCTACTCTCATTATTGGTCCTGAAGGGTTTATCTGTCCTGTATTCCCTGTGTTTCCAGTTCTTATCTGTACCCATGTACATGCTCTAGTCTAGCCAATTTGTAAGGTAGAATTGGGGTCACGATAATTGAGGGGAGGAAGCCTTAAAGAACTAGAGCATTGGTTCTCAACCTTCCTAATACCACAACCTTTTAATACAGTTCCTCATGTTGTGGTGACTCCCAAGCATAAAATTATTTCTGTTGCTACTTCATAACTGTCATTCTGCTACTGTTATCAATCATAATGTAAATATCTGATATGCAGGATCTATTTTCATTGCTACAAATTGAATATAATTAAAATATAGTGATTAATCACAAAACAATATGTAATCATATATTAGTGAACTATTTATTTCTAATGACAAATAAATGAAATTCTGTCTGGAAGCATGGGGTAGCATGGGTAACAGTCTTCATGTAGGTATGTGGGCATGGTGTCTCAGTTCCTAAGGCCATTGGAAATATGTGTTTTTTGATGGTCTTAGGCGACCCCTGTGGAAGGGTCATGACCCACAGGTTGAGAATCGCTGAACTAGAGGAAAGTTGTATGTTTCAACAATGCTATACTGCACCCTCATAGGCTCATCTCTTCCTGTGAGCCTTCTATAAGAGGATGTCCAAAGTCTACAGATAAGACTTTGGGTCTCCGCTCTGCACTCCCCCTCATTCACATTGATATGATTTTTAGTTCTGGGTCTTTGATGCCTGGTACCTGATCCTATGGACACCTCATGATCACACAGGCTGGTGTGCTTCTTCCATGTGAACTTTGTTGCTTCTGAACTAGATGACCGCTTGTGTAACGTTAAGCCTTTAAGACCCCAGATGCTATATCTGTTGATAGCTGGCACCATCAGCTTTCTTCACCACATTTGCTTATGCACACATTTTGTCTTCAGTGATCCTATTGGGAAGGTGAGCATCACGGCATGCCAGGTTATTAGAACAAAGTGTTCTTGCTTTGAGGGAGTACTTGAGTAGAAGCCCAATGACCGTCTGTTACCTTAATACTAAGCCTATAAATATATGTATACAGATCTATTTCCCTATCATTATATATAAATATATTTACATATGCACATACCTGTATTTAGACCTCTAAAAAGGCCCCTCTCCTCCTAGTTCTTTCCTCTATTTCCTTTTACTTTCCCCTTGTCCCACTATCATGCTCAGCCTTCATTTGGGTTTCAGTAATTCCTCTCAGTTACATTGCCCTTGATCAAGTCCTACCAGGCATCCCAAGCACCCCCTTGCCATTGACTTTAGATCACTTGTTTCCTTGTTCCTTTCCCTGCCTCCCCCTCTCCCATGTCCCCCGTTCGGTCCCGTTGTTTTCTCCTCTGGATTGTTTATCCAAGTCTATCTTATCTAGATAGAGCTTCAAAGACAATAATAAGCACAAAAACAAGACAGCATGACAAAACAACAAAAGAAATGAAAACAACAACAACAAAAACCAATGACAAAAAAAAAAAAAAGAAAAGCCTATAAATAATTCAAGGTCTGTTTGCTGACCTTTAGGAGTGTTTTTTTCCAGTCCAGTCTGATTGGGTACCACGCTCTGGCCTCAAAGTCTACTTTTGGTATTCCCTGGGGACTTCATTGCTTTGCTCCCCTTGCTGCTCTGTTGCACGCCCTTAGTGTTTTGCCCTGGTGTGGTGGGGTCAGATCAGGCACAATTCCCACACTGTGCCTCCAGTGTTG